TATCCAATTGCGTATGTCTATGGGCAACGGTCACTTCGCTATTTCAGTGATTTCAGGTGGCCGCTCGCTCGTTTGCCACTTTTTGACATAAAAAAAAAATTCTTCGTGAAGGTTGCATCCTTCACCGTAAGAATGTCGGATAACACTTAAGCTACTCATCAAGTTTCTTTTTAAACAGCTAGTACACAAATAAAATGAATTTGTTTAGTGTTGTATTGAATATCATGATTGCAATTTATCAAAGCGTGAGCTCATTGCTTTGATTATTTTCATGTACACTTCTTATAAGGAAGCGTTAAAGTGGTTACTTAAAACTTAAAATTTTAAGTTAAGTTAAGTTACTCACTTCTTTTCTAATGTGAGTGGTGAACTGTAGTTTCCAGTTTGAAGTGATCTAACTTAGACGGATGATACTTTTACAACATGTGCATTGGTAACTTAAACTTCGAAGTTATAGTTTCGTATAAGTTTCCAGTACATGTGAAAGTTTTGATGGACAGATTTAACGTCGTTAGGACGAGAAATTGGTAAAGTTCTCGTTCGCGAAGGAAAATATTATTTAAAAGTGAAACTAGAATTACTTATGAAGTGTGCTTTGTGAAGTTTGAATGATAAAACGTATTTTATTTTACCATGTCAGACTAAACTTATTTGTAACAAATTACCATTGTTTTAGCTTTTTTTGTTTTTTTTTTGTCTTTATGAAAATAGCAGTTGACGACCGCGACTACATCCATGCGGAATTAACAGAAGACTTAATGAGTAGCCTATGTGTTCTTCTATGTTCTACATCTGTACTAAATTTCATCCGTTGCGCTGTTCTGCAGATACCTTCAAACAAACATCCATCCATCTAAACTTTCGCTATAATATTAGTAAGATTTATTTTAATAATTTCTTCATTTTGTGTATTTTACTAGTTTGAATCAATAAATATAAAATTCTGTATTATAGACCAACAAGATTTGTGATAACTCACTAGCGCCCTCTATCAATAGGAATAGATATTGTTTGAATATGGTTTTGTAATGGTTCTTTACTCTCTTGTATATGTCATAACCAGCTGCCGGCCGTGCGGAATTAAAAAACATTAGTAGCCTATGTATTCTTTCAGGTTATGTTCTATATGTATGCCAAATTTAAACGAGATATGTTCTGCCGTTCTGGAGATAACATCTAACAAACATCCATCCATCCATATCGTTGAGAACATTGCCCCTCTTCTATTATTTTTGAAATTCAAATTTGGATTGAAAAAAATCAAATAAAACTCATTAAAATTTAATTACAAAATTATATTATTTTCAAATAAAGAATATAAAATAGTAAAAACAGATATAATGATGGCAGTTGTTCTGATATAAGAATACAAACTTAATCTAAAGTCAATTGGTATGACACGAAAATTAAAAATAAACTAATTTTAAAATTAGAACTAATTAAAAAACTATATTAATATTATCTAAAATATACAGGCCATTGATATTAAGCTAAAATTAATCACACAATTTAAAAAGAATATACAGTGATATGAATTATATATAAATACAAATTTATTACTGTGAGTTTTCATCGCCGAAACAATACATGTGTTACCTCTTTTATATAAAAGACTGAGGGGGATGAGGGGTCGAGAGGGGGTGGTAAGAGGGGTGTTGATAATACTTTTCGAATTGAGATATCGGCTGTAAAAACACAATTTTATTTCATCAAATTTAGTTTTAAAACAACTGAAGTTCGTATTTAAATTTATATTAAAAAATAATTCGCATTAAGAAGAAAAAGGTTAGTCAGATTTTATTTTCTTGCAATAATTTTATAAACTTCTCGTCTTCTAATCTGTGATAAATTATAAAGAACTATTAGAAAAATATTTACATAATTAATATCACCGTTAAAAAGAAATTAATTTTTACACAAAATTTAATTAACCTAAATTAATGATAGAAAATTTTCAAAGACAATAAAATTATTAAGAAAGACTTGGTAGTGAGACCTTAAAACTAAGAGTAAATATTATTATTATTGCTTAGAATTCAATAGTTAGGTACAAGTTATAGACACTTAGTACTGCAGTAAGCAAGAACAACTATGCGTACAGAAAATGTAAGACAAGAAAAAAATAAACGCATTTTTAAAATTCGAAATCAAACATATAATATAATTATTTATTTATTAAAATTATCATTAAATTCATTAAAATTTAATGATAATTTTTGTCATTGTATTACCAATGATTGTATCCACAATACTTCTTAAATATAAATTATAATCTTTTGACCTGAAAACTTATAGACAAAAGTAATTAATTTCATATTAAAAATATTTTTTTATTACATTGCCTTTCATTTTCTATATTCACATAAGTGACGTGAAGCATTATTAATGGAAATTTAGAAATTTTCTCTACAATTCCTTATAAAGAGCTATAAGCATACCAATTAAAATTTATGTACAAAACTCTTATTATGCATCGTTTTAATTTAATTGTTTTGTTCTGAGCTCTAGTGAATATGACACATTAAAACACCACATCTAAATGCTTAGTTATTATAACAGCATGTTTTCAACATTTTAATGATTTCATTAAACTTTTCATTACTATTTTAATGAAATATGACAATGATATTTCAAATGTGTTTTATTCACTAGTACATCATAACGAACATGACAATAAACGGCAAATAAGAGTTTTCTAGAGATCATTAGGAAAACTTCTTTTTCACAATCTATTTTATCATCCTAAATAAATATATATCACATTTGAACACATACTTCCGTAATTTGTTGTACCTTAACTAAGCACAAAAACTGAATAAAACTATAATACAGCTAAAAAATAAAATAAATTGTTCCCGATACAAATTGTTCCCCGACACAAAAAAACTTTAAAAAATTACTTAACCGTGTATCTGTTACTATAAACTATACATAAATCCAATTTTAGTTTCAAATATTTAATTAATTTAATTAATAAGATCTGTACTAGAATTCATAGTCCTAAACAAACTTGGCGGCGCTCAGTAGCTGCCGACATGACGGCCATCGGGCTGACAAGGCCCGAGACCAAACACAGAGCCCAAGATAGAGCGAACTGGCGGCGCACTGTAGACGCCCTCTCCTCCACTACGGGGACATAGGACTTTAAATCAAGTAAGTCAGTACTAGAATTAAAATAACCGAACAACTATTATCTTTTGTCTAATTTGCAAGTAAAAAAAAATCAAATTTCTCTATTAAAATATTAATATTTTAATTTCCTTTCTAGAAACGGAACTGATTGATATCTCCGCGTAACCACACATTTATAAAAATACTTAAATTTGAAGCCTCTTAACAACTTAAATTAATGAGTAATCAGCTAGCAAAGAACTATGTTATATATTTAATATATATTTTTTAAATTACTTAGTAAAATTACAACTTAAAAATAATCTTACAAACAAACGGTAACTAGCCCAGTCAGAATTCTCTTTCCTGATATTTTCCTTTAAAATTTAATAATCTGTAATTTAAACACAATGTTTTTTTTTTAATTATTTGATGGGATGTATAAAAAGGACGTATTTTTAAATATGCTGTATTACAAAAAGACGGACTACCGTTTTCTTAAATTAAATTATTTACATTTATATATAGTTTTAATAAAATAGACCTCAGATATAATTCTCGAACGGCTTGGCACGTAACTTAAATAATAAACTAATTTATTTATTACTAGTATAAAAGCTTTTTAATACAAAAATAATATAATGAGATCAATCGATGATAATTTTAGGCTGCTCTCTTTGGAACAAATGAAGACGAGTTTTTGATATCAAAAAAAGAAATATTCTCTTTCCTTACAAATCCGCGGCTGGTCCGTACTTAGGAATGTAAAAATGTATAGGCTCGTACATACTGCATTACCTGTTTTTGAAATACAATAAACATTTTAACAGGATCTATACCCTACTTTTACTTTTAATACTAAACTCTCCCATCATTTAATGTCGCTATAAGAATTACACTAAAGCATTGTGTATTTAAAAATGAATAATTTACAATATCATGGAATGAATTCTGTTTGTTATACGCTTAGGAAAATTGTATAAGTTTACAAAATCTCTTGGATTAGCAATAAAACATGGTATTGATTGACAAAAATCTGTATGAAATGTAAACAGGACATGAATATGTTGATCACACAGTATGCATAAGTCTTATATTGTCTGGTAAAATTATTTTTTAATATAAAAATTATTAAATTAGAATTACTAGACGCATAATTTTCCATTTTTATATTTTCCATTAAAATATTTGAAAATATTTGTATAATTATCAAAAATTGGTTACAGATTTATTTAATACTTTATAGAAAATGTGCATTAAAATTTACCAAAATGATTTTCTACGTATTCAACACTGTAGTGTATGCATAAACGTAGTGTTGTTTGTCTCGAGCGTACACGCCATAAGTACATGCGGGAGAGAGAGGGGACATCAGTCGATGTCAGACCTTTGGACCGGTAATACGTGTCGGTACGTGAACGAGCCAAATTTAACGCTACGAATGCTACAGACACCAAAAGCAGAATATAGTTACGCATTTTGTTCTACAATTATTGAAATAATACATTCCTTATTAATTTATTTTATATAATTTGATAATTTTATTTTGTTTGACTTACATTTTTTATAAAAACATATTTATTTTATTAGCAGCAAAACAAAAAAACTCATAAATCATATATTAAACTTTATAAAGTACGATTAAATATGTGTATTTACATTATTCCAATTTCTCTCATGGATGAATTAAATTAAAAAGTAAATTTTTCATTAATTGTCACTATTTACAAATAATTCATTGAATATAAATTGACTTTTTTCTTTTTAATTAATAATGAAATGCTACTGGCTGGATTTTGATGATATTTTTTAATCATCAAATTTTAATCAATCATTATTTTTTTAATCAACATTATTCCGAAAATTAAAAAAAAAAACATCTTTGGATTATATTTTGTAAATTTAATTTAAATTGAGAGCGTTAAGTGCAACAAGCGATTTAGATTAATATATTTCGGCTATACATATAAATGTACAAAACGTTCGTTTATTAACGATTAAAGCGGCTAAAGAGTTATTATTACAAATAACTGTTTAGAAAACTGTTATTATAAAGTGATTAACAGAATAATATTAACTTATTCTTATCACATTTAGTTATTATATCTTCGTTGTTCGTTGTACGATGTGGATTCATCGTTTATTTGCTAGAAGTTTCCATCCCAGCATAAAGATGACCGCTGTGCATATAGATCCAGATAACTTGTCCGGGATTATCGACGAGAAGATTGATTCTGATGATGATTTCTCAGTCTGATAAGGTTCTTCTAGTGATGATGAATCAGTCTGAAATTAAAAAATATATATATAAATACTTCGATAATTTCTTTTGTTTCAATTACATCATTTTGAATATTCTTAACATTAGTTTAATTCATGAGATTAATGAACAAATAATCACAAAATGACAACCGCGACTCCATCTGCGCGGAATTAAAAAAAAAAATCTTAATTAGTAGCCTATGTGTTCTATCAGACTATGTTTCATATTAACACCTAATTTCATCGAGATCCATTAAGCCGTTCTAACCTTCAACCATCTAAACATTCGAATTTTAAAATTACTGTCAAAGAATTAAAAAACAAATAAATGCATAATTCTGAAACCTAATAATCATGCACCAACCTAATAATGTATCTATTTTTTTTTTCTTTTTTTATATCATAAGGTGGCAAACGAGCGAGCGGTCACCTGAAATCGCTGAAATAGCGAAGTGACCGTTGCCCATAGACATACGCAATTGCATATGCGTTGCCTACATTTAATCGACGGAGGAGAGGATGCACAGAAAGAAAATATTTTCCCTTTCCGTGCATCCCCTCATCCGGAAAGTCCACTTCCACTTCCCATCCTTTCCTTATAAGAAAAAGGGTGGGAAGGGAAAGAGGACTAATTTTGGCCTCCGGGACGCACACTCATCAGACGAAACGCGGAATTGCTTCCACTTCATGCCTGTCTTCTGTGTGGTCGTGGTACTTCACCGGGCGAGCCGGGCCGATTCGTGCGAAGATGTTAAAGCGGGCTCTACCATTGTTAAATTTGTTTTTTTTTTAATAGTTATACGCGCAGTTAATAATAATAATTTATTTAATAATATAATATTATAATAATAATTTAATAATAACTTTAATGACAACACATATCAATACAATTAGTCCGATAGTCTTATCGGTGAATGGACTGATAGCGAAGAGCTCCGACCAACATCTCAAAAAGCTCTCGCTAAACAGTTAAGGACCCGATACACAAGGCAGTTACCCTAGAAACCGCGCGCATGGCGAGAAGGTTCCTGTCTCTGCCCTGACCACTGGTTGTTTGAGTTATGGGATTCCGTAGCCGGTGGTGCTCTATTTTTATATTTTATATATGAAATGTACTATATTAAGAATAAGATAAACAAATAAATATATGTTTATAAAACACATATCTGAACTATAATTTTAAACAACATTCTTATTAGTATTCCGTATCGAAATAGCAAATCTAATCTGGCATACAGTAATAAACTTAGCGACTCAATAAAGATTGCGAATGCGGGGAGCTACAAGAATGCATACTTCTGGGAAGCACTTTTTATAGATATTAATAAAACAATGCACTCGTAAACTTTAGTGGAGGGTTTGCTGCACTGATTTGATATTTATAACACACGATTTTTTTTTCAGGCAGACGCGTTTCGGCCGCGCTTTCGTCTTGTATGGAGTCGTGTGTGCGATTTCCACTGACGCGACTATCACTGCTATGTAAAGAAACATTCGAGGC